CAACTGTTATTAATCAAGAGTTCTTCCTGAGGAAATTAAAAGGAAGAAAAAAGGTAAATTGTTCTTAATCTGCTGAATATTACTGCTGTCATTACCACGACCTGTCCTTGCCTTCAATTCCAACTAATTGAGACCCCATTAGACATGGTAGAACTGAGCTATAGGGTTTCCAAGACTGGTATCTTTTTTTAAAGATTTTATTATGAATTGACTGACCGTTTACATGGTACAACATCTGTTTTACACTCAACCAATTGTATTTCGTTTCATTGCAATGATTACAATCCCCTCCATGCATCATCATTCAACAGTATTTGCTTCTCTTCCCTCTTTTTTTTCTTTTTGATGTACACAAAAACATGCAGGGATATATAATCATTTAAACAACCAAAGGGCACATTCTGCAAGCCTGCCTCCTGGCTGCCAGCACACAGCCTTTCTCTTTCCATGAGTCTAGAGTCCTCAGCTGTTCAATCTTTCCATGTCCTCATCTCTGCCTCCATCTCTGGTGTAACTGCTTCTCTGGTTAGAATCCCACGTTTGACCCATGCTCTTCTCCCTTGATGGTCCTAGGGTCCTCTGTTCCTGGTCTGTACTCCCCTCTTTTTGTTACACATCTTCTACTTTTATAGTTATGACAAAGGACTGCTATCTTAATGGGTGCAAATCACCACATCTTTCTCCTGTGGAGTCTCACCATCCTCACATCTAAGGAGCATTCTGGTTGTCTTCCTTCTTAGGCTGATTTCTCTGTTCTCTGGAAGTCCTCAATATGTATATTCAATAGTCTTCACCAACACCACAGTTCAAACGCATCTCTGCTTCTGTCGGAGCAGTAACAGTGATCACAGTGTAGTAACAACATCATTATTACTCTTCTGAAGTACTAGTAACAAAGATAATAATGTAATAATGCTGTCATTATTACTCTCTATAGCAGTAGAGTAACAATTATCATGATGTAACGACATCATTATTACTCTTCTGTCGTCGTCGTAGTAGTAATACTTACTAGTAGTAACAGTGATCACCGTGTAGTAATGACATCATTATTACTTTTCTATGTAGTAGTATTAACAGTAATCACATTGTAATAATGACATCATTCTTCTT